AAAAGTCTGCTATGCTCTGCTCGGTTAGATAGCCCCATACTCCGCTCTGAGTGGTCATGTAAACCAATTTTGATTGGTTGGTTGGTCATATGGTTTTGATTGGTCTTTGATTGGGTTTGATTGGTCAGATGCCTCTACTTTGCTCAGATTGGTTAGATGCCTTTATTATGATTGGTCAGTTAGCCCTGCTCTGCTCCCGTTGGTCAGATACCACTTTTCTGATTGGTCAGTTGACCTTACTCTGCTCTGATTGGTCAGGTACCTCTAGACTGATTGGTCAAATGGCCCTACTATGCTCTGATTGGTCACATACCTCTATACTAATTGGTCAGAGGGCCCTACTCTGCTCTGCATGGTCAGGTACTTCTACACTGAGTGGTGAGATGGCCCCACTCTGCTCTGCATGGTCAGGTACCTACACTGATTGGTCAGATGGGCCTACTTTGCTCTGATTGATCTGGTACCTCTACACTGATTGGTCGGATGACCCTACTATGCTCTGGTTGGTCACTTACCTCTACACTGATTGCTCAGAAGGCCCTACAATGCTCTGATTGGTCACGTACCTCTACACTGATTGGTCAGATGGCTCTACTATGCTCTGATAGGTCATGTGCCTCTACACTGATTGCTCAGAAGGCCCTACAATGCTCTGATTGGTCACGTACCTCTATACTGATTGGTCAGATGGCTCTACTATGCTCTGATAGGTCACATGCCTCTACACTGATTGCTCAGAAGGCCCTACAATGCTCTGATTGGTCACGTACCTCTACACTGATTGGTCAGATGGCTCTACTATGCTCTGATAGGTCACGTACCTCTAGACTAATTGCTCAGAAGGCCCTACTTTGCCGTAATTGGTCAGGTACCTCTACGCTGATGGCCCTACTTTGCTCTGATTGGCCAGGTACGTCTACACTGATTGGTCAGATGGCCCTACTCAGCTCTGATTGGTCAGATGACCCAGTATGTTATGAGTGGTTGACTACTTACACTATTTGCCAGAAGCCAAACACTTATTAGCACATCTGAATTGCAGTAAACATTAGTTATTCCGACAGTAACTATATCAGAACAGTAACTATATCTATACTTATTTAAGTCCTCATCATTTAGACGTGCATGTAAATTAGATTTACTTCTGCAAACCAAACTCTTCCAGTGTCATCTACAACTACAGTCATTCATGATCACTTACACATTGTGTACATATTCCCAATGAAATCCACAGACTGACATTATGCCCATCTGATTAAAGCCAGCATAGAATTTTGCTGTAATAAGACTGGAATTACCAACAACTTACACCCGGCAGTTCTTGCAGTCTTTTAATAGTTCAATCTGTTGTGAACTTGATCTTGGAAACTGTGCAGAGCGTTTACTTTCACAAACAGCTACTTTTACACACTACATGACAATCAATATCTTAAAAAGCATAATAAGGGCACTGAAAATAAATTGATTGGTCATAAATGAGAGAGACTCCCACTGAAACGGTAAGTTCATAATAAATATTTCGCTCCTGGAAATGGAATCTGTAGGCTGACTGAAGAGGGTAAGAAACACATAAGGACAAAACAAGACTGCAGCATGGATTGTGTGTGAATGAGTGCTGCGTTTACGTGCATGCGTCTCTAACAACAGACTTTTTTTATTCAGCGTTCTGCCATTTTTGTAGAATAGTCAAAACTACACTACACATGTAGTCTCAGGTTTTATTACATGTTTGTTGTCAGTGTCGATGAATTTTACATTTCATTCTGATGTACTGAATTTTGGCTGAATCATTTCTTGATTTAATTTTGGAGTTTTCATGTTACAATTAAGCTTTAGTGCATGAACAGATCTCTCTTCTCAGAATAAAACAAGTGAGCAATAAATAAAGAAATGCCCAATCAACATATCTTATATTTGTGAGGGGAAACAATTATATTAAAGTAAAAAAAGTGGAAGGTGGAATGTCAAAAATGTAAGATCGTAGATTATTTATCTGAGCGTATAACCTAATTATTCAATTCTTGACAGCACAAAAATCTTAAGTCTTAAATATATTATTAAATATGAACTATTTAGCTAATTTATTTTCACATTGTAAATACACGACTTGTATTTGAGGTGAAACAATCGTATTAAAACAAGAAATGCAAGGTGAATGTAGGAAATGTAAGGTAATGGATTATTTATCTGAGCATTTAGCCTAATTATACAATTCTTGACAGCACAACAACCCCAGTGTTATAGAAATTATTAAATATGAAACATTTAGCTAATTTACTTCCACACTGTGAACATATGATAAATATTTGAGGTGAAACAGATTAAAATTGGAAACGTATGGTGAAATGAAAGAAATGTAAAATCGTAGACTATTTATCTTAGCGTAAAGCCTAATTATTACATTTTAATGGCACAACAACCCCAGTATTAAATGTATCATTAAACATGACATTTTTAGCTAATTTACTTTCACATTGTGAATATTTGACTAACATTTCAGATGAAAAATTATATAAAATTAAGAAATGTAAAGTGAAATGTGAGAAATATAAGGTAATGGATTATTTATCTGAGCATTTAGCCTAATTATACAATTATTGACAGCACAGCAACCCCAGTGTTATAGAAATGATTAAATATGAGATGTTTAGCTAATTTACTTCCACACTGTGAATATATGATAAATATTTGAGGTGAAACAGTCAGATTAAAATTGGAAACTTATGGTAAAATGTAAGAAATGTAAGATGGTAGACTATTTATCTGAGCGTATAGCCTAATTATTTAATTTTTGACAGCACAACAACCCAAAAAAAAGCAATTCAAAAGCACAAATATATGGAGAAAAACAAAAACATGAATCACTAAATCCACAAAACCATGATTTTCTTACAGTGCGAGGTTGTTGTTGTTGTATTGTGAATATTAATTATGCTCAGATAAATCGTCTGCGGTCAGGTCTGCAATGGAGAATCATCAATACTGATCTGCATTAGCATTCTAATTAGTATAATTGAAATCATTTTAATAGCTCTTCTCATATTCCAGTCATTTATTAGATCTGAACGGATCAGTTATTTTCTCAATTGTCGTGATGTGCAGCCAAATAAAACAACTTGATAATTATTTTTCTCCCTCCGCAGTGCCAAAGGTCGTGGCAAGGGCAAGGTTGGCGGCAGGCTGAGGTAAACGCACGGCGGATCCAGGAGCTCCAGAGATCCAGAAGACTTTATCTGCTTCATCACATACAGTTGAAGTCAGAGTTATTAGCCCTCCTGAATTATTTCCTTCCCCCCTGTATATTTTTGATTTGCCCCAATTTCTGTTTAACAGAGAGATTTTATTTTTAAACATAATAGTTTTAATAACTTATTTCTGATAACTGGTTTCTTTTATCTGTGCTATGATGACGGTACATAATATTTGACTAGATGTTTTAAAAGATACTAGTATTCAGCTTCAAGTGACATTTAAAGGCTTAACTAGGCTAATTAGGCAAGTCGTTATTTAATGATGGTTTGTTCTGTAGATGGTCGAAAACAAATATTGCTTAAGGGGCTAATAATATTGACCTTAAAATGGTTTCGAAAACTGCTTTTATTCAAGCCAAAATAAGGCAAATAAGACATTCTCCAGGAGAAAAAATATTATAGGAAATACTATGAAAAATGTCTTGCTCCATTAAACATCATTTGGGAAATATTTGGAAAAGACAAAGCACAGGTGGGCGAATAATTTCGACTTCAACTGTATGCAGATGTGGTCATGACAGACGCATCGCTCTGCTTTACTGCACTATGGAGACAGAAAAGTCGCATACTCTCTACTGATGTCGTGTATTTCTGCTTGTTATGCACAAGTATTCTGCAGTCCTCTCTATATTGAGCACTCGTTTTATTCCTGCAACATTAAAAGAGTCAGATTGTCTACAAAGTGTCCTGGTTTCTCAAGTTACTTGTTAAGTATAAATCAAAACAATGTGAATTTTTTGTCTTTTACAGTACTTTTGTATTAAAGTAATGTTTGTATGTCTTTTATTAGCTCCCAAACAGTGCTTTAATATATACAACATTAATGTGAAATGCAATTAATATTGTAATTTACACTTTAAATTAAATTGATTTGTATTTTTTTTTTTAAATATGCAGCATTTAAAACAGGAAATATTTAAATAATATGAATCCACAAAGTCATATGACATTATTACCTGGTATTATTAAATAATATTGAATAATTTATACTAAACAAAATCATTTTTATGTATTTAAATGCATTATCAGCCATATTTTTTAATAATAATAAGTAAATAAATGCTAAATCATTTTTATTTATTTAAATGCATTATCAGCCATATTTTCTGAATAATAATAAGTAAATAAATGCAAAATCATTTTTGTAATGTATAGAATATTTAATTTATTTACTTAATTAAATAGTCAATGCATTAATTTATTAATTTTAGCCAGATCACGGGCAAAGCATGTGGAATAATTGAATGTGTAGTATAGTATTAGTATAGATATAAGCCAATCATTTAATTATTTAGGATCATAAACCATTTTTTTATTATATTAAAGTCGTTCCTTCATTTACCTTCACCACAGCAGAATGAACCGCCAACTACTCTGGCATATGTTTTACACATTCCCTATTATAGTAAATTAATTTAAAAAATAAAAAATAAAAATAAGCAGTAGTGTAATTCACACACTTCACCACATGATGGCGATCAGAGAAGTTCCTCTATTTCAGTCAATGGAAAAATAAACTGCATTAGTGTAATACACACACTTGACCACATGATGGCGATCAGAAAAGTTTCTCTGTTTCAGTCAATGGAAAAACAAGCATCAATAGTGTAATTCACACAACTCACCACATGATGGCGATCTGAAAAGATCCTCCATATCAGTCAATGGAAAAACATCGGCAGTGTAATTCAAATAATTCACCACAGGAGGGCAGCAAACAGGCTCAGTTTTGCCTCCGCTCCACTAGACGGGGGAAGAGGGTTTCAATGACAACAACAACAACAACAACAACAACAACAACATGGGGCTCGATGACAGACGCAACAACACGTGCAGATTGTTTTTAATACAGTTCCTGCAAATGACAGCTATCAAAATCACTCATAACATGCAGTGGATGCAAAGACAATGCAGCTGTCAAGCACCACCGGTAAGTAACTTTAAGCTTAAAGAGAATTTCTGTTGGGTGAAATGAGCAACACTGGTCAGTTCCTAACCTTATAAGTTTGTTTTTATTCGTCGATCTGATGATGATCATGTTAATATTGAGGTAGGGCTGGTTTTATATTCGCACATTCATTCAGTGACAGCTTGTGGCATGCTCCCTACACTGTTTACTGCTTGTTTTGCTTGATATTGTTTATTGTTTACCATGGTACTTTTAATAGTCGGCCTGAAATCATGTAAATATGACTTCAAAACAACATTAGCACTATTTATCTGACCTTAAACAATGTTGTACTTTGTTAATCATTGGCTGCTAATATGATTTCACTACTTGGAAAATGAAATTATCTATATTATTAGGTGGAAAGTCAGAATGTGTGAATGCATTAAGCTAAAGTTGGTTTTATATTCACACATTCCTTCAGGGACAACTTCCGACATGCTCCATGTATTGTTTACCATAGAGGTAATTTTGGTTTTATATTCGGATATTCAGACATTCTACTTAATAATACAATTTCAGAAAAGTATTCTTTGCATATTCCAAATAGGGAAATCATATTAGCCGCAAATGACCATCAAAGTACAGCATTGTTCACAGTGAGTTAGTGTTAATGTTGTTTGAAAGTCATAATCGCATGCTAATTCCTATTGAATATTCAAAGTAGCATAGTAAACAATATAGAGACTGCTAAATAAATGAATGTGTGAATATAAAACCAACTTTACCTCAATTTGTAGTCTGAAATCACATGTAAATATGACTTCAAAACAACATTAGCACTATTTATTTGACCTTAAACAATGTTGTACTTTGATGACCATTGGCTGCTAATATGATTTCACTATTTGAAAAATGAAATTATTAATATTGTTAATCAATATATAAGTTTTAAATATATAACTTCACTGACAACTTCCGACATTCTCCAAATATTGTTTACCATGATACTGTGAATATTCGGTCTGAAATCACATGTAAATAGGACTTCAAAACAACATTGGCACTATTTATTTGACGGTAAAACGATGTTGTACTTTAAAATTCATTGCCTGCTAATAAGATTTTAATATTTGGAACTTGCAAAGAATGATACATCTGGCATGCAAAGAGGCATATATCAGCACTAAACCTTCACCACGCATTCAATTATTCCATTTGCTTAGCCGTTGATTATCTGGCTAAATTAAATAAACTAATGAACTAATTTATTAATTATTAAGTAAATTAAGTATAAATATATTCTATAAATTTTCCCAGAGATGGGTTGCGGCTGGAAGGGGCATCCGCTGCGTAAAAACTTGCTGGATAGGTTGGCGGTTCATTCCGCTGTGGCGACCCCGGATTAATAAAGGGACTAAGCCGACAAGAAAATAAATGAATGAATGAATGAATGAATGAATGAATATTCTATAAATTACAAAAAAAAGTTAATTTAACTTAGTTGGTTTTATATTCGCACATTCCTTTAGAGGCAACTTGTGTTATGCTCCATATACTGTTGACCATGGTAATAAATACAAATAAATTAACAAATGTACTAATTATTAAGTAAATTAATTATAAATGTCTTCTATAAATTTTAAAAAATAAAGTTAATTTAAATGATTTTGCATTTATTTATGTATTATTATGTAGAAATAATTACTGATGATGCATATGAATAAATACATGATTTTGTGTGGTAGAAAGTATTCAATATTATATAATAATACAAGCCAATAATGTCATGTTACTTTATTACATTAATATTATATAAATATTTACTGTTTTTTTAAATGCTGCATATTCCTAAAAAAATCTATTTAACGTAAAGTTTAAATTAAAATTTTAATTGCATTTCACATGAATGTAGTTTATATTAAAGTACGTATAGAAGTATTAAAGTTAAAGGTTACTGTAGACTTGGTTTCATTTACAAATTCATCTATAGTTATTGTGTATTATTTATATTGATCATAAACCGTTATCTGAAATAAAACTTTGTCATATTATAAAGTACAATAATACGCAAGACATATGCTTGTGTTTTTTTACTGCCGTTGTGGTAATCTTACTGTCGATATTATAATCTAGTAGACTGATGTTTGTTTAAATTTGTTGTCAGTTCTGTGAAGCTCTGATTTTTTTTTTATTTATAAGTGTATGTCATTGTTTATAAATTAATTGTTATATATAACTGATTCTTTCAATACTAATTGGGGTTAAGGGTATGTTTATTTACAGATACAAGCAAAGTGGACAGTACAACTAGACAGATACGGGGTATATCCCAAAGTATGCTAATAGGACTTTTAATTTGCCAGTAACCTGAGTTAAGTGCTTCCAGTGAACTGAATGTCATCGCAAAATCTGTGCGTTTAAGGTCTGTTTTCTTTAAAAAGTCAGCGATCTCCACTGGCTGAGTGATATCTGATATAAAGTGGGTCTCAGGTTGCACAAGAGGCACTGCTTTAAATTACATTTTCCCCACCATGTCTTTAAAATAAGAGCATTTGTTTTACCACAGTATATTCAATGGAGCTTCTGCACTAGCCTGCCGATTCTGAGGGGCGCGTGCGAGTAAACAGCTTTATGTCTTGTGTTACGCTTGAGCAACTAAATGCATGCCAAAGTCTATTTAACTGATTGTATTTTAATGACATTACAACATCCATGCTGTAAAAGGAGTCGTATAAAATGGAAAAAACTCACAATAACAGGTCGCCGGAAGTTTATCAGCATTAGAACACTAGCTCAGCTTTTACCCTATTGGATGTAATGATAGCTAATTATCTACAGGTGAAACTTCTAACTTGTTTGTGTGTTTTGTCATTTACCAAACATTTCGGTTACCATCATTGTCTTTATGGAGGGTCACTTCTCTATTTGTATAACTGTCTATTGTTAGACAAACTATGCAATATGTGTCAATAGAGATTTGCAATGGTGTAATTCACCAAAATCTCCACATGAGGGTGATAGTTTGAATTTCATTATTTTAAATTGGCAGCGGTGCAGTTCACAACAATCACCACAGGAGGGCGAATATTAATTATATTTTAATTTATATAGTAATTAAATACATAAGTTTTTGTATAAATTAAATTCATTATATTTGCAAAAGTGTAGTTCAGAGAAACCTCCACAGGAGGGCGCATAATTTGATACATATGTATATTTGTATATTTGTCTATTGTTAGATCAGATATTCAGTGTGTGTGTAATAATGTGTTTGTTTGTGTGTCGACTCTACAGGATCAGTGAAGTGTTGTGGACTGTAAGTCTGTTGAACAGAAGCAGAGACGAGTGGACAGACACTGACTGTACTGATGATGATCATCTGCTGCTGCACAGGTGATGTAGATCATGTGTTGTCTTACCCTAATTACGTTGGTTACCATCAGTTACTTTGTGGAGGGTCACTCCTCTAGAAAGCAAATGATGGTAAACGAAACAGGTGAGGAAGGTTCAAAGATTTTCATTACATATACATTTTATTTTTTTCCAGCAGTAATGAAGTATAACCCCTGCTGGACATGGCTCCGGAAGCTCCAGGGGGAGACCGAACTGGGATCCCCACCTCTCCAGGCACAACTCACTCACTGTGCACTCATATTGCAAAGATCCGGCTGGGATCGATCCAGCAACCTTTAAAGTCATAGAGCAGCGATCTTACCACAGAGCCACTGATCTCCTGTCTGGATGCCTGCTGGAATTTATGTCACTGCTGACCTGTTTCAATAAAACAATATATAAGTCAGAATTGAACTCTTGTCTTTATGAGTCTCTTCCTCAGAGAACTTGTGTTTATTCACTCATCCACTTAATTTCACCTTACTGTTCATAAGTTGAGTGTCTGTGTTGTATGAAAACACTGTAACGTCAGCATTGAGGTTGATAGAAGTGGGATTTAAACCCATGACTCCATCTCAGCAACACTGTGACTTTCTACTTTAAAGTCTAGTGATCATGAGCTCTTGGTGAATAAAATGAACTCAGCTGAATATTAGTCATAGTGAGGTTTGAACCCGGGTCTCCTTGTTTGAGGCTCCACACTTTAGGACTTGAGCCACTGAGTCTAGACAGTGAAGTAAGTATCTGAATGGGGCTTTATCACGAATTTCACCACGACCAAGGTTTGGCAAATTTCTTTGTAATTTGGCCCACGGAAAACCCATCAACAAATGTCAAACCCAGTGGCTCAGTGGATGAGCGTTCGACTGCCATACAGATGAATGAAGGATCGTATCCCGCATCTCTCTTTATGAGTCTCTTCCTCAGAGAACTTGTGGTTTAATCACTCATCTTTGGGTTCACATACTGCTCTGTTTGAACTGTTCGGATGCTGTTGATGAACATAATGATGTCAAGATGGACACCAGCCAAAGTGAGGTTTGAACCCGGGTCTCTTTGATTAAAGATCAACACTTTATGAACTGAGCCACTGAGTCCAGACAGATAACTTGTGTCAGAATGAGGCTTTATCACTGTTTTCATCATGACCAAAGTATGACAAATGTTTCTTTCTAATTTGGCTCACAAAACAACCATCACCAGATGTCAAGCCACATGGCTCAGTGGATGAGCCTTAGACTGCCATACAGGAGACATGGGTTCTAACCCAACTATTGCTTACTTTACTGTCACTTGCTGGGATTCAGTCAGACAAAGAGGCCCAAGGAGCATGAAAGCCATGATGGGCTAGTGGATGAACATATGGTTGCGGAGGACAAGGTTACGGCAGAGGCCTGGGTACGAAACCCACCTCGATGTGTGGCTCACACCAACGAAAGTACAAATAGCAAGGAAATTACGAGGCGGGGGAACACAAACATTACAATACTTTGTTTTTTTCTGATTATCTCAGCAGTAAAAAGCAGCAGCAGTTCTTGGATTTGAACCCAGGTGTGCTGTGACAGCTTCAGATGTCATGATGTGTGCTCTGACCACTACACCATCACCACACACATAAACCCACATTTCTTTCTCCAATGGGAGGATAACCACATTCTACACATTTTGAAAAAAAAAATTAAATAAACACAAATAATTCATATCAAATGTAAATTATTTTAAATAAATGTAAACTGCATCATATGCGAATATATTATTATATTTCACTATTCAAAATGTGGAAAACATGCTTATTCTTCAATTAGACACATGAACATGTTTCAAATTATCTTACAGCTGCTTGTGGGGCTTTAAATGTCACTAAACACAATTAAACACTGGAAAATATCATCATTTACTTCTAAAGTCTCCTCATACTGTACTGATGACTCTACACCAAATCTGGCCAATCACATGCTCTCCACAGAAAGTCCCTCCCCCAACAAACACGCGACAGAGCAGCAGCACAACAAACACACTTTCTGGACTCTCTACTGGAAATATGAGCTCATAAATACCTTTCCTGGAGCTGTGAATCCGCCTGGATGTGGAGGAGCGTGTGGAGGAGCGTCAGCTGTTGAGCGCAGCTCAAAGATCTGCAGCAGAAACACAACAGACACACGTGTGTATCTTCACTGCTGCAGAGGAGAGAGAGAGAGAGAGCAATGACTGAACACAAACACTACAACAACATCACTACAAACTAAACCAACGAAGCAAAGTCCCTTACAGGTGAGTCGCGTTACTCTCCATTTCTGCACTTGGTGTGGCTTTTCTTCGCTGTCGGGCTGTAATATCTGCTGTTGACTGACATTATGAGTCTGTCACTGAGCTGTCATCTGCTACTGGAGCTCAACTTGACGCCAGTAAAACGGTGTACCTGTGCTGATCTGGTGTTGCTGTTGTCAAAGGTGTTCAGGCTAAAAGAGCAGCTCGCTGATTCCGCCTAGTGGAGCGAATGGGATCTGCGCTTTAAAGCGCACCCCTAACCCCACCCCTCACAATGACGTAACTAGCTCCATTGAGTGCAGCGTCTGACATTGTAAGTCTAATATATGCAGTCTCAGTTTGCAAATCCAAGTCTGCATGCAGATACTATTGGAGAAAGACTGACCAAATCTGCCTCTTGCAGAATTCACAAGATTTTTTACATCCACTCATTGCGTTTTCATTCAGCAACAGAAATACTCATAATTTAAAACTTATTGAACGGCTTAATACAATTTAGGATTAAAAATAAAGCAGCCAGTCATCTTTATAAGGCATTTAGTGAAGGAAATGTGTTCGTATTTTTGTTGGTAAAATTATCATTTGTGTCTGCGTCAATTAAATCTGTAAGCAATGAAAACATTCTGCATCCCCAATATAAGAGCTCATCAAACAAGTTCTGTGTGTCTTTATTGATGAGTGGCGCATTAATTACCTACAGGCTAATATTCAGGTTTCACATTACATTCGTATTGGTTTGATATTTCCACATTGTTAATCAAGCATTTGTGCTGAAGTTCAATATAAAGTGAGCACAAATAATGACCCATGAATGATTAGATGATTGAGTATATGCTTTAATAATTATTTTGACATTGTTAGGAGGGAAATGAACAGTTGAGACCAAAACGACTGCTGTGTCAGATCAAGAGAAGACTCTGAGCCGCAGATTCAATGAAATTAAAATAATTTACTGGAGATAGTTTGTCGTTCTGTGGCAGGAGGGCTTCACACTGGCATTGAGTTCGCTGGTGGATCTCCCTGCCTTACAGTAAGACAGAAAATCTCTCCTGCATACAAAAAAAATTACTTTACAGAGAATTTAAACATAAAATAGAAAAACTCAGGAATCAGTTGTTTTAATCCACCAGGAATCCAGTTCCCCTCGAGAGCTCTCCATGACCTCTGACCTGGCTTGGTAGATGGGCCATTCTTCAACTACGGGCACTTTTAGCCTTGTGAAGTTGAGTAAAAAAAACTTGTTCAAAATTAACGTAACATAGCCTCATAAGTTTAAACACTTTGTCTAGTTTGAAGATCTGTAAGAGGACAAACTCAGATAAGAAGAGAAACATTTTCTCCATCGTGAACTGAACAAATGTCAATTCCAGCACATCTCAATATACAGCTTATATTTCTAAATGACATAAATGATGGCAGTCAAACATTGTCTAACATCATTTTTGTTTCTAGTTTAACCAAATATTTCCACAATATCGATAATAATTATACATTTGTCAGTGAAATAAATTAGTTGTGTGCTGAATTGTACACCTGTCACACTCTAAAACTTAATATTAATTTGGTTAAGAGCTTATTAGAAAATAAATAAACTGAATTTGTAAATTAAATAGAGCGTGAACTCATACATTGTGAAAACACTTTATTGTGTGATGAGAACCTTTTAAATGTTTTTAATAATGTGTGTGGTGATGGAAATGACATTTCAACAGTTTATTGTGAAAATAATGAAAAATAGCTTCACCGATTAGCTTTGAATTGATACAAGCCTTTCATATATACAAAACACTCTTATTTACCCTCATTTTGTTTTGGTTTTACATTTTTAAGTAGGTTTTATTGTTAGTTTGACAAAGAAAGAAGAATTTGAACAAAATTATATATATGTTTGGATATTTGATCAAAGGACATAAAAGTGCTCGTAGTTGAAGAATTACCCAGATCCTGAAAATAGAGATTTGACAGACACAGACGCTTCAGCTGAACACATCACTACATTAGGTCATGTTTAACTTCAGTCACTGATCAAAATCATGTCAAAGATTAAAAACTGATTAGAATAATCATAATAATAAAGTCAACAAGAACAGATTTTGATCCTTCCTGAAACAGATGAAGACAGAAAACGACTCGCTTCAACAGGAAGCAGAACTGTGCTCACGATGACCTCAGTTTACTCAAGCCTCTCTGTCATTTGAAGATCTCCATAAAAACTGTGTGATATTTAGCATTTGATGATAAGACTCTATTTAATAATAATTACTTTTTAGTTTAAACCTCAAGACTTTCTGCTTCCTTTTACACAATAAAATGTTTCTGGTTGTCAGCATCAGTGGAGGAAAATACACATAACTACAGCTGCGCCACAGGAAGGTGAAATCTCAGTGCTTTACATTTGCTGTGCTGAAGTTCAGAAAAAACATCAGCACAATCTTTCAAATCAACTGAACTGCAAAGGTGTAATTCAGAAATATCTCCACAGGAGGGCGACATGTTTAAATTCACACTATTAGATATGCACTGGTGTCATTCACCAAAATCACCACACGAGGGCGAACATTTTAAATTCATCAAGTTCGCAGTGGTGTAATTCAGAAATATCTCCACAGGAGGGAGAAACCTTTATTATTTTAGAGCGGCAGCAGTGCAGTCCACAAAAATCCCCACAAGAGGGCGAATATTTTAAATTCAGTAGATTCAAGATTTGCAAAAGTGTAGTTCAGAGAAATCTCCACAGGAGGGCGCAATACTTGATACATATGTAATATTTGTCTATTTGTCTATTGTTAGATCAGATATTCAGTGTGTGTAATAATGTGTTGATTTGTGTGTCGACTCTACAGGATCAGTGAAGTGTTGTGGACTGTAAGTCTGTTGAACAGAAGCAGAGACGAGTGGACAGACACTGACTGTACTGATGATGATCATCTGCTGCTGCACAGGTGATGTAGATCATGTGTGTGATTGGTTGTGTGTGTGTCTGTTCCACATGTCGGTTACCATCATTTGCTTTGTGGAGGGTCACTCCTCTACAAAGTAAATGATGGTAACCGAAACGGGTGGGGAAGGGACGAAGGTCCAGAATTTTTATACAGTTCATTTTAAATTTTTTGCAGGGCTGTAAAGTATAACCCCTGCTGGACACGGCTCCGGAAGCTCCAGGGGGAGACCGAACTGGTATCCCCCCTTCTTCAGGCGCGCCTCACACTCACTCACCATTCACTCATATCGCAGAGTTCTGGCTGGCCTTGAACCAGCAACCCCTGAAGCCATGGGGCAGTGCTCTTACCACAGAGCCACAGATCTCCATGTCTGAACACTTGCTGGAACTGATGTTGGACTGCTGACCTGTGTGTGAGCTGATTCAATAAAACAAGATATATGTCAGATCTGAACCCTTGTCTTTATGAGTCTCTTCCTCAGAGAACTTGTGTTTATTCACTCATCAACCATCATTAGTTTCACATCAGCGTCCATCATCTTGGTGAACATAATGAACTCAGTGGGACATTAGCCATGGTGAGGTTTGAACCCGGGTCTCCTAGATTTAAGCTTATTACTTTAAGACCTGAGCCACTGAGTCTGGACAGTGAAGGAGAGGTCAGATTGGGGCTTTATCACTATTCTCAGAACGACCAGGGTTTGACACATGTTTCTTTGTAATTTGGGCCATGAAAAACCTTTTGCCAAATGTCAAACCCTGTGGCTTAAAGGATGAGCGTTCGCCTGCTATTTAGAAGTGTGAAGGATCGAATCTCATTTCTGCCAGATCGAGATACAAGTCAGATTTGAACTCTTGTCTTTATGAGTCTCTTCCTCAGAGAGCTTGTGTTTATTCACCCATCATGGGTTTCGTTCCATCATCAGGGGCTCCTGGTCAGTATAATGAGTTCAAGATGGACATTAGCCATAGTGAGGTTTGAACCCGGGTCTCCTTGTTTAAAGATCAATAGTTTATGACTTGAGCCACTGAGTCTAGATGGTAAACAATGTGTCTGAATGAGGCTTTATCACTGTTTTCATCATAAACAAGGTTTGACATATGTTTCTTTGTAATTTGGCTCACAAAACAACCATTGCAAAAAGTCGAGCCCCATGGCTCAGCGGATGTGCATTAGACTGCCATACAGGAGACATGGGTTCTAACCCAACTATTGCTTACTTTACTGTCACTTGCTGGGATTCAGTCAGACAAAGAGGCCCAAGGAGCATGAAAGCCATGATGGGCTAGTGGATGAACATATGGTTGCGGTGGACATGGTTACGGCAGAGGCCTGGGTACGAAACCCACCTCGATGTGTGGCTCACACCAACGAAAGTACAAATAGCAAGGAAATTACGAGGCGGGGGAACACAAACATAACAATACTTTGTTGTTTTTCTGATTATCTCAGCAGTAAAAAGCTGCAGCAGTTCTTGGATTTGAACCCAGGTGTGCTGTGACAGCTTCAGATGTCCTGCTGTGTGCTCTGACCACTACACCATCACCACACACATAAACCCACATTTCTTTCTCCAATGGGAGGATAACCACATTCTACACATTTTGAAAAAAAAAATTAAATAAACACAAATAATTCATATCAAATGTAAATTATTTTAAATAAATGTAAACTGCATCATATGCGAATATATTATTATATTTCACTATTCAAAATGTGGAAAACATGCTTATTCTTCAATCAGACACATGAACATGTTTCAAATTATCTTACAGCTGCTTGTGGGGCTTTAAATGTCACTAAACACAATTAAACACTGGAAAATATCATCATTTACTTCTAAAGTCTCCTCATACTGTACTGATGACTCTACACCAAATCTGGCCAATCACATGCTCTCCACAGAAAGTCCCTCCCCCAACAAACACGCGACAGAGCAGCAGCACAACAAACACACTTTCTGGACTCTCTACTGGAAATATGAGCTCATAAATACCTTTCCTGGAGCTGTGAATCCGCCTGGATGTGGAGGAGCGTGTGGAGGAGCGTCAGCTGTTGAGCGCAGCTCAAAGATCTGCAGCAGAAACACAACAGACACACGTGTGTATCTTCACTGCTGCAGAGGAGAGAGAGAGAGAGAGAGCAATGACTGAACACAAACACTACAACAACATCACTACAAACTAAACCAACGAAGCAAAGTCCCTTACAGGTGAGTCTCGTTACTCTCCATTTCTGCACTTGGTGTGGCTTTTCTTCACTGTCGGGCTGTAATATCTGCTGTTGACTGACATTATGAGTCTGTCACTGAGCTGTCATCTGCTGGAGCTCAACTTGACGCCAGTAAAACGGTGTACCTGTGCTGATCTGGTGTCGCTGTTGTCAAAGGTGTTCAGACTAAAAGAGCAGCTCGCTGAATAAATAAATACTATTTAAATCAGGATCGGCAGAGAGGCAGGAATTAAACTCAGATCATCGAGAGCACAGTTTTGCTACATGTCTGTCTGTTTAACTAATTTTTAATGTTTAAAGCATATACTCAAACATCTAATCATTCATAAGTGATTCATTTTCTCACTTTATTTAGAGTTTCAGGGCATATTTTTGATTGACAGTGTAGAAATATCAAATAATTATCATTAAAATACGAAACAATTTTCAAAAAACTATTGATTTCAGGCTCAACATAAAAAATATTGTTGAATAAAATGTAAAACATAAACAAACTGATCAGTGAATGTCCGCTTGAACTGAGAAAATGTGACTTTAAACAGAGAGCAGCTGAAGCTGTATTGATTTGTTTTACTGTCTTTACTGCAGATGAAGTTGGTATGTGCTTGTCAAATAAACATTTCAGACGTTTCTATGGATGCTGCACAATTTTTATGTCAAATTTAAGAATTTGAGTCCTGAAGAATAAATAAATCAGTGGAGATGTCCAATAGCAGAGATTCACTGTGTTTGTTTACAGTCTACTGTGGACATCAGCTGATTCACAAACACATTCATATTATCCACATTCAGTGCACTGCTGAGTCCTCTGCCATTTTGATCTATATAAGAGTATTTTGTAGTCTGCTGAGTATAAGTGTGTACATACTACAAAATGCACATTTAAAAATAGTCAATCACTCGGCTATTACTGTAATCTTTCTGAAGTGAAAGAACTGCAAAACACTTTATTAAACACCAACAGTTGAAGCAGAGGTTGATATTAATTCTGCCTGTTTTATATCAGAGCTTCAAAATACAACAGAATAAATCTCCGCCGGTCTCTTTTGTTAAGTTTAATTATAATGTAGCCTAAATTTATCCATAACACAATAATGCAGGCCGCAAGTCAGATCACAGCTTACTCAAATTCATAAATATGGTTGATATGAACCTTCTGACTCTAGTCATATTTTATAGGAAATGAATGAGCATATTAAACTGTTTCTGGAGGTTTACCTAAACAAATCACAAACCTACTAAATATCAGAGAACAATTGAGCTTATTGAATCAATGCAGAATATGCAGCACCTCAGAATCATTCGATTTGCAAAGGTGTAATTCAGAAATATCTTTACACAAGCGTGAAACGTTTAACTTCATTATTTTATAACAGCAGCAGTGCAGTTTACAAACATCAGCACAAGAGTAATATATATTATAATATTTTAAACTCATAAGATTTGTTATGGTGTACTTCTGAGAAATCTCTAAACGAGGGCAATAAAATGTTGGTTGTCAGCAATAGAGGAGGAAAATACACATAACGACAGCTGCGCCACAGGAAGGTGAAATCTCAGTGCTTTACATTTGCTGTGCTAAAATTCAGAAAAAACATCAGCACAATCTTTCAAATCAATAAATCTGGAAATGTGTAATTCAGAAATATCTCCACAGGAGGGAGAAACTTTGCATTTGAGTATTTTAGAATGGCAGCAGTGCAGTTCACAAAAATCACCACAAGAAGGTGCTGTTATAGCGAATATTTTAAATTCAGCAGATTCAAGATTTGCAAAAGTGTAGTTCAGAGAAATCTCCACAGGAGGGCGCAATATTTGATACATATGTAATATTTGTCTATTTGTCTATTGTTAGATCAGATATTCAGCGTGTGTAATAATGTGTTGATTTGTGTGTCGACTCTACAGGATCAGTGAAGTGTTGTGGACTGTAAGTCTGTTGAACAGAAGCAGAGACGAGTGGACAGACACTGACTGTACTGATGATGATCATCTGCTGCTGCACAGGTGATGTAGATCATGTGTGTGATTGGTTGTGTGTATGTGTCTGATCCACATGTCGGTTACCATCATTTGCTTTGTGGAGGGTCACTCCTCTACAAAGTAAATGATGGTAACCGAAGCGGGTGGGGAAGGGACGAAGGTCCAGAATTTTTATACAGTTCATTTTAAATTTTTTGCCAGGCTGTAAAGTATAACCCCTGCTGGACACGGCTCCGGAAGCTCCAGGGGGAGACCGAACTGGTATCCCCCCTTCTTCAGGCGCGCCTCACACTCACTCACCATTCACTCATATCGCAGAGTTCTGGCTGGCCTTGAACCAGCAACCCCTGAAGCCGTGGGGCAGCGCTCTTACCACAGAGCCACAGATCTCCATGTCTGAGCACTTGCTGGAACTGATGTTGGACTGCTGACCTGTGTGTGAGCTGATTCAATAAAACAAGATATATGTCAGATCTGAACTCTTGTCTTTATGAGTCTCTTCCTCAGAGAACTTGTGTTTATTCACTCATCAACCATCATTAGTTTCACATCAGCGTCCATCATCTTGGTGAACATAATGAACTCAGTGGGACATTAGCCATGGTGAGGTTTGAACCCGGGTCTCCTAGATTAAAGCTTATTACTTTAAGACCTGAGCCACTGAGTCTGGACAGTGAAGGAGAGGTCAGATTGGGGCTTTATCACTATTCTCATCACGACCAGGGTTTGACACATGTTTCTTTGTAATTTGGGCCACGAAAAACCTTCTGCCAAATGTGAAACTCTGTGGCTCAAAGGATGAGCGTTCGCCTGCTATTTAGAAGTGTGAAGGATCGAATCTCATTTCTGCCAGATCGAGATACAAGTCAGAATTGAACTCTTGTCTTTATGAGTCTCTTCCTCAGAGAACTTGTGTTTATTCACTCATCATGGGTTTCGTTCCATCATCAGGGGCTCCTGGTCAGTATAATGAGGACAAGATGGACATTAGCCATAGTGAGGTTTGAACCCGGGTCTCCTTGATTAAAGATCAATAGTTTATGACTTGAGCCACTGAGTCTAGATGGTGAGCAATGTTTCTGAATGAGGCTTTATCACTGATTTCACCGTGACCAAGGTTTGACAAATTTCTTTGTAATTTGACTCACAAAACAACCATTGTGAAATGTCAAGCGCCATGGCTCAGTGGATGTGCATTAGACTGCCATACAGGAGACATGGGTTCTAACCCAACTATTGCTTACTTTACTGTCACTTGCTGGGATTCAGTCAGACAAAGAGGCCCAAGGAGCATGAAAGCCATGATGGGCTAGTGGATGAGCATATGGTTGCGGTGGACATGGTTACGGCAGAGGCCTGGGTACGAAACCCACCTCGATGTGTGGCTCACACCAACGAAAGTACAAATAGCAAGGAAATTACGAGGCGGGGGAACACAAACATAACAATACTTTGTTGTTTTTCTGATTATCTCAGCAGTAAAAAGCAGCGGCAGTTCTTGGATTTGAACCCAGGTGTGCTGTGACAGCTTCATATGTCATGATGTGTGCTCTGACCACTACACCATCACCACACACATAAACCCACATTTCTTTCTCCAATGGGAGGATAACCACATTCTACACATTTTGAAAAAAAATTTAAATAAACACAAATAATTAATATCAAATGTAAATTATTTTAAATAAATGTAAACTGCATCATATGCAAATATATATTATTATATTTCACTATTCAAAATGTGGAAAACATGCTTATTCTTCAATCAGACACATAAACATGTTTCAAATTATCTTACAGCTGCTTGTGGGGCTTTAAATGTCACTAAACACAATTAAACACTGGAAAATATCATCATTTACTTCTAAAGTCTCCTCATACTGTACTGATGACTCTACACCAAATCTGGCCAATCACATGCTCTCCACAGAAAGTCCCTCCCCCAACAAACACGCGACAGAGCAGCAGCACAACAAACACACTTTCTGGACTCTCTACTGGAAATATGAGCTCATAAATACCTTTCCTGGAGCTGTGAATCCGCCTGGATGTGGAGGAGCGTGTGGAGGAGCGTCAGCTGTTGAGCGCAGCTCAAATATCTGCAGCAGAAACACAACAGACACACGTGTGTATCTTCACTGCTGCAGAGGAGAGAGAGAGAGAGAGCAATGACTGAACACAAACACTACAACAACATCACTACAAACTAAACCAACGAAGCAAAGTCCCTTACAGGTGAGTCGCGTTACTCTCCATTTCTGCACTTGGTGTGGCTTTTCTTCGCTGTCGGGCTGTAATATCTGCTGTTGACTGACATTATGAGTCTGTCACTGAGCTGTCATCTGCTACTGGAGCTCAACTTGACGCCAGTAAAACGGTGTACCTGTGCTGATCTGGTGTTGCTGTTGTCAAAGGTGTTCAGGCTAAAAGAGCAGCTCGCTGATTCCGCCTAGTGGAGCGAATGGGATCTGCGCTTTAAAGCGCACCCCTAACCCCACCCCTCACAATGACGTAACTAGCTCCATTGAGTGCAGCGTCTGACATTGTAAGTCTAATATATGCAGTCTCAGTTTGCAAATCCAAGTCTGCATGCAGATACTATTGGAGAAAGACTGACCAAATATGCCTCTTGCAGAATTCACAAGATTTTTTACATCCACTCATTGCGTTTTCATTCAGCAACAGAAATACTCATAATTTAAAACTTATTGAACGGCTTAATACAATTTAGGATTAAAAATAAAGCAGCCAGTCATCTTTATATCTTTATAAGGCATTTAGTGAAGGAAATGTGTTCGTATTTTTGTTGGTAAAATTATCATTTGTGTCTGCGTCAATTAAATCTGTAAGCAATGAAAACATTCTGCATCCCCAATATAAGAGCTCATCAAACAAGTTCTATGTGTCTTTATTGATGAGTGGCGCATTAATTACCTACAGGCTAAATGATCATCTGGAGTGAAGAACATCATGGTGAGAAAGTCACAAGCTTGGAGGTTCAATATTCATGTTTAGCATTTAATTGATCAATATTTGATGTCAAGTCTGTCATCATCAGCTTCTGGAAATTGTTTCATATTACATTCGTATTGGTTTGATATTTCCACATTGTTCATCAAGCATTTGTGCTGAAGTTCAATATAAAGTGAGCACAAATAATGACCCATGAATGATTAGATGATTGAGTATATGCTTTAATAATTATTTTGACATTGTTAGGAGGGAAATGAACAGTTGAGACCAAAACGACTGCTGTGTCAGATCAAGAGAAGACTCTGAGCCGCAGATTCAATGAAATTAAAATAATTTACTGGAGATAGTTTGTGGTTCTGCGGCAGGAGAGCTTCACACTGGCATTGAGTTCGCTGGCCAATCTCCCTGCCTTACACTAAAACAGAAAATCTCGCCTACATACAAAGAAAATTACGTAACAGAGAATTTACACATAAAATAGAAAAACTCAGGAATCAGTTGTTTTAATCCACCAGGAATCCAGTTCCCCTCGAGAGCTCTCCATGACCTCTGACCTGGCTTGGTAGATGGGCCATTCTTCAACTACGGGCACTTTTAGCCTTGTGAAGTTGAGTAAAAAAAACTTGTTCAAAATTAACGTAACATAGCCTCATAAGTTTAAACACTTTGTCTAGTTTTAAGATCTGTAAGAGGACAAACTCAGATAAGAAGAGAAACATTTTTTCCATCGTGAACTGAACAAATGTCAATTCCAGCACATCTCAATATACAGCTTATATTTGTAAATGACATAAATGATGGCAGTCAAACATTGTCTAAGATCATTTTTGTTTCTAGTTTAACCAAATATTTCCACAATATCGATAATAATTATACATTTGTCAGTGAAATAAATTAGTTGTGTGCTGAATTGTACACCTGTCACACTCTAAAACTTAATATTAATTTGGTTAAGAGCTTATTAGAAAATAAATAAACTGAATTTGTATATTAAATAGAGCATGAACTCATACATTGTGAATACACTTTAATGTGTGATGAGAACTTTTTAAATGTTTTTAATAATGTGTGTGGTGATGGAAATGACATTTCAACAGTTTATTGTGAAAATAATGAAAAATAGCTTCACCGATTAACTTTGAATTGATACAAGCCTTTCATATATACAAAACACTCTTATTTACCCTCATTTTGTTTTGGTTTTACATTTTTTTAAGTAGGTTTTATTGTTAGTTTGACATAGAAAGAAGAATTTGAACAAAATTATATATATGTTTGGATATTTGATCAAAGGACATAAAAGTGCTCGTAGTTGAAGAATTACCCAGATCCTGAAAATAGAGATTTGACAGACTCAGACGCTTCAGCTGAACACATCACTACATTAGGTCATGTTTAACTTCAGTCACTGATCAAAATCATGTCAAAGATTAAAAACTGATTCAAATAATCATAATAATAAAGTCAACAAGAACAGATTTTGATCTTTCCTGAAACAGATGAAGACAGAAAACGACTCGCTTCAACAGGAAGCAGAACTGTGCTCACGATGACCTCAGTTTAACTCAAGCCTCGCTGTCATTTGAAGATCCCCATAAAAACTGTGTGATATTTAGCATTTGATGATAAGTCTGTATTTAATAATAATTACTTTTTAGTTTAGACCTCAAGACTTTCTGCTTCCTTTTACACAATAAAATGTTTCTGGTTGTCAGCATCAGCGGAGGAAAATACACAGAACTACAGCTGCGCCACAGGAAGGTGAAATCTCAGTGCTTTACATTTGCTGTGCTGAAGTTCAGGAAAAACATCAGCACAATCTTTCAAATCAACTGAACTGCAAAGGTGTAATTCAGAAATATCTCCACAGGAGGGCGACATGTTTAAATTCATACTATTAGATTTGCAGTGGTGTCATTCACCAAAATCACCACACGAGGGCGAACATTTTAAATTCATCAAGTTCGCAGTGGTGTAATTCAGAAATATCTCCACAGGAGGGAGAAACCTTTATTATTTTAAAGCGGCAGCAGTGCAGTCCACAAAAATCC